AAAAAAATTATTTTTCTACTCTACCCCTTCTTTTACTGTGTAATTTTTGTTTGGCTGTTCTTTTGTTCCATCCACCAGATCGAACTCATTGGTCAAAATATGCATTATGGTAGGAGGTTGTTGTATGTTTACATTTGAAGGTATTGCAGTGTAAATAAAATGTTTTTTTCACAAAATTGTGCCATGTGTTTAAGATCTAATTTGACTCACTATTTGTCATAAACAGTTAATGTGTTGCTTGTGTTGATAGGCGCTCAGTTAAATCTGTTTATTTTGTTATATTTTTTATGTTGAAGCCAATGTTTTGGTTGTGTGTTGAAAAGGATTTAAATTAGCTGAACTATTGGTTGAGCAACGCCCTCTGGTGGAATAAGGCGGGACAGTTTTGAATGTGGCAGTGACTTAAGGTCCTTGAACATTGCAAACACATTGAATTATTCATGTCTCTAATTGTAGTTTTTATTTATCTTTCATCTTAATGATTTCCTTTGTGCAAATTATACTGTTTTATAATCATCCTAAAAGTTATATCATTATTTTAGAGGTAGTAGCAGTGTTATTATTTTTTTTACTTACAGAGATTTTTTTTTTTTTTTTTTGCTTAATGAATTTACTTGTATTTAACCAGTTAATTCTTAATGTGTCAGGATAAAATGCTTGCCATGTTGCCTTCTTGCCTTATACTTCATGTTATGGGGTTTTTCCTACTGTTAAAAGAAGAATTGAATAGAAAATCCCTTTATTGTCCCACAATGGGGAATTTGTGGTGTTTAAAGCAGGAAAAGGTTACAGTAGAAGTGGTCACACAATGTGCACCTTAGAAAAATTTATACAAATAAATGTATAAATGAAACCTCTAAGAGCTAACCCTCTAAATGTCTGAAGTCATGAGATATAGAACAAAATGTTAAGAGCATATATAGTACAGCCTACCCGATTTGAAAGTCATATGTGGAAGTGATACCATTTCAATGCAGGTTCTTGAATCTAGAATGGTTTGGTGAAGCAGCGGTTTGATGTTGGACACTGCTTCCTTTTTTCTTTTTTTTTTATCCAAATTTTACACCTTGATTCATGCTTTCACATGACTGTCATTTGATTTTTATGACTCACCTCAAAAGACATCTCTGTCATGGTCTGTGTGGCCTAGAAATACCTGGGACTCCCCACTGGCCGATGGTTCTTATTAACCTCTGGGCTGAATGTCAGAGAAGCATCCATCACTCCTACAGTCTAGACTGTAGTTTTACTTTGATCAGATACATTCATGTAGTCCAACAACCCCGAGGGAAACGGAGGTTTCCCAAAGACCTTCCCCTGGACACAAATTAGCAAACATACCTTCAGTGAAATTACTTACAATGTCACCATATGTATTGATATTTTCTGCTTGAGTAAACAAAATGTCCCCCTTCTACGCATCGACTGTCATATAAATAAGTATTTTACATCAGGTGTAATTAAACAAAAGGCTCAAAATCTGGAAGATAGTGACAGTATAAATATGCTGATAATACTATAGACTAACCATAAACTAAATCATGTATTTCAAAAATGTCAAAGTTGACCACATTTTTGGGTACCTAAAGGCAACCCACAGCGAGTGAAAGTGAAGAGGGAAAAAGTAACAGTTTTAGAAAGTGCTGAATCACATGGAGGTCAGTCCACAATAATGAGCTTACTAATAGTGATGCCACCCCCCCAACACACACACACACGCACACAATACCATTATTTCTGTTTAGAAAGTTCTAAGTGGTTAGCCTTTGGACTCTTTTAGATAAAGTAAAAACTTTTATTGTTGGAATATTTCAAGGATGATCAATGATTGTTTATAAATGGAAATTTACAGTTTTGTCATAAAATCTTTCCAGTCTGTGGGGGGAAAAAACCCCCCATCAAACTAGAGATGTTTCCCCTTTTTACAGTGTTTTGTGAAAATATTTGCACCCTTTAGTTTTCCACATGTGGTTCAAATTAGAAACCTCAAACCTCATTGTGGTATTATTAGGATTTTAAGTCAGAGACAAATAAACAAGTGACCTGTAAACACATGATGATCAACTTAAATACAAAGATCTAAAAAATATTTAATATGAATTTAGGTTCAAGCACTCTGATCAATGCACACCTTAAGATTAAAATGCTCTATTTTTTTACTTATTTTTTTTGCAATTGCAAAATTACAGATGGGCTGAAATAGGAATATCTGCAAGTAAACATTTTTGACTGGATTTTGACTTGACCTTTGACAGGGTCACTAACACGAGTGTTTTTTGATCTAATAATGTACATCATCATCTGCATCATTCTCTGGATGAGCTGCCCTATTCTAGAGTCAAGGGGTCTCCAACAGGTTCTGACCAGCTCCCATGTCTCACAGACAGGATGGGAAGTTATTTTTCTGTAAAGATGATCTGCTTGTCCAGGAATGAAATATATGTTGACTTTGTATACGTGAGTTTAGACTTGTTTCAATGTTAACAGGATGAACAATGGTGTCATGGGGTCACATTCAGAGGAATTTAGATGGGACTCATGTAACCTAAAGTAATTATCCACTGAATCATACCAAACTACTCTAAAACTCATTCATGTTCATTGAGTCACTGAACCGCAGGCAAGGCCATAACTGCGCAATTCAATAAATAATTTAATTACATAATAACAGAGAAAAACGTTTGTTGCGTTTAATGCTGTAGGAAATTCGAATGCTGAGCAAAAAGTTTGAATAAAGAAAGAAAGTCATAATAAAATGTATTCCCTGGTGTGAGTTTACTACGTAAGATTAGAAAACCTGCATGTCACCACATTAAATTGGGGGCTATTCAAGGAATATGGTTTTAAGTAGTAGGTCTGTTGGAAGCTCCACATGCCACAACATGAAAGCCTATGAAGAAAGACTAACAAAGTTATATGGAATTTATTGGACAGCAGGATTATTCCTCTTTATAGTTAAATAAATCTAACCAAACTGTACTTTTATTTTCCTGGTGTATACGAGTCTGATTGGTGCATTGAAATATTGAACAGTTTGTTTATTTTAGTCGCTTTGTTCAACAAGTAAACTTGTTCGTTACAAACCAAGAGGGCTATACAAAGTTTATTTGTATAGCAAACAAAGTTGGAATACAGCTTGAAAAAGAAAAACTCTAAGAAAGGTAAAGAAAACCTGGACAATGAACTTCAAGTAATTATGTTTCAGTTAACTGTTTAAAAAGAACACCCAAGAGCAACTTAACCTTGATTAAACTTTGATTTAACTTTAAGATAGATTTTAAAATGTATATTTCTGTTCATTGTGAGGATTATAGTTCAAAGCTAATGTGGCGGCTTCTGAAGCAAAGATGCCAGATGCAGTCCACGCTTTACAAGTCTCCCAAAAATTCCAGGATGAGTGTGGAGGCCACCTTTTATAACCACACTTTTTCCTTCCAACTAACTTTCAGTTTTCTTATGCTTGTTTACAGCTTCTATCCCATCAGAGGCTGTCAAAACCTCAGCTTCTCCATACATTACATACATAACATTCTTTGATAGACTGTTATCAATGGCGTAACAACACAACAATAGGCCCATAAGCAACGTTATCTAGGTGGGCCCCATATGAAGTACAAGACCCCATTCCCCCCATCACAGTAGCAGCATCGTCCACCATTCCCTCTTTGATTCTTTAAAAGAACGTGTTTATTTTGGGAAGTTTTTTCCATTCTTCCAGCACCTCTTTGCTTTTTCTTTTCTGGAATCCGCTTAAGTAACTCTTTTTGGTATCCATCGTTGCTAACACATTGTACTTAAAGGTTATGGTTTTAATCTACACTCTGGATTACCCGCAATTCCAAGTCGTAGTGTAAAAATACATCGTTCTTTTAATATTTTTATTGCAGTTTAAAACATATTATATGAGTGTATTTTTGACCAACCGTCTAATGAACTATACACAGTTATTAACATACGGTAGTAATTAAGAATACCACTGTCTGCTTTGCTATTGGTGTCGTTTTTTAAACGGCTCACAATCATGTTAAAATCTGGCATGTGTTGGGGTATAAATACCGCCCAGTCAGTCAGAGCAGGCTCAGGTGGGTATAAACAAAATTTTTCGCACCATTATATCTGCAAAGAGACGTCCTGATCCACAATTGCATAGGGGGCCTACCAGGAATCAGTGAGGGGGCACCTGACCTCTTAGGGGCCCCCTCACTGACTCCTGATAGCAACTGCAGTCTCTGCTTTACCAATATTTACGCCATTGATTGTTATAGTTTTGTGCTGGCTGCAATAAATGCTCGGAAAACATGACTCTGTGTGTTAGTTTCATCATTATATAAAAAATAAATAAAAACCTGAAATGTTAGAACTGTAAATTTACAGTTATGTTTATATTACTGTTTATATATGATATATAAACAGCATATATTTTTGTAGCATTTATTGACAGCTACAAGTCAATTGGTATTTTTTCATTATTTTTGAAAAAGTTCCAAAAGTGTAGTGTTTTCAGTGCTCAAATAGTAACAAGACAAGTTCATTTCCCTCTATGTATATATCAGGGTATGGCTTTAAATGAATTTATCAGGCATTTTAGCTGATAAGCAGTGTGGATTTATTCTAGGAAAGCTCAAACAAAATGACAAATAAATCTAAGTCTAGTTTAACTTCTTGAAATCAAATACTAATGTAAATAAACTGTTTCATATTTAAAAACTAATCAAGAAGCGCCTGAAGTAAACGAGGAAGAAGGTTGGAAACTCTCGAACTGTGCAAGAGCTCCAATTTTCCGACGCCATTGAAAGCACCACGTCGTGTTTCCTTTTCGGGCGCTGTCGAAGAAACCCGAACGCAGTTCGAACAGAAAAAAAAAAAAAGTTTGATGTGTGTTTTATGTTTTAGCCGTTTAACAATGATTGCCGCCAGTGTAAAAGCCTTGATGTTTGCTGTTTGAAAGATGGCAGCAGGCTGCAGGCAGGGCTCCGGTTTGACGACGCTAAAAAAAAAAAAAAAAAAAAAAAAAAAAAAAAGTCCGCGGGGAAGTTCCCCAGGAAATCCCCAGTTCGGGGATATTATTCTCGACACTGATGCGCCAAATCTCCGGCAGAATTTACCTCCTTCTGAAAGACACGGGGTGAGAAGCAGAGGCGTCAAATGCTGGATGGTTATTGTTAAAAGAGTCGCTCGGTGTATTGAGTGTAAAAAGTCCGCCATGGATAGCGCCAGTTTCAGCTCTGAGGGAGACGCGCTGCTGAGGGAGAAAACGCGCAGCTTCGGCGTCATGAACACACTTTACCACGAAACCAAGGAGGAGATGGAGCTGCTCAACAAGCAGATCTGCCTAAAGGACAATATTATCGCAGACCTAAAGTCCAGGCTGGCCAGACATGAGAGGATCTACATGACGGTGGGAGATGATGAGCCTGTGCTCGTCGGACCGTCCAACTCACTGGTGGAAAGCCTGCTGAAAGAGATGTGCAAGATGAAGCACAAGAGGAACGACATGGAGCTCAAAGCAGCCCGACAATCAGAGGTAGAAATAAGTCTGCAAACAAGGACAACATTTACTAACATATTTGTCACTGTTTTAGAAATGTGTCAACACCCTTTTATCTCTTTATTTGATATTATTAAATACTTTTTTTTTCAACAGAATCCTCAGAAACACAAAGAAAAATAGTTACTTTAATGAGAATAAATGGATAAATGCACAATTTCTGTAATAAATAATAATAAATAGATTAAAAATAATACATAACTGGGCTTTACTAGAACAAATCCACACTGGGGTCCAAACTGAAAAAGTTTTAATTTAGTTAACAT